CCACACCACACCACAGGGAGGGGGAGAAGGAACCATTGGGGGGGGGGAGGGGGGGGGCCGGCCGAACCGGGATCATATATATATATATATATATTTATTTATTTATTTATTTATTTATATTTATACTTACTAAACGACACGATCCTTCTAGTAGAGTAACTCTTATAGACCCTTTTGGAGCATTTCGTTTGCGGGCTGAAGGGATCGGATCTGGGCTGCCGGGCACGACCGGCAAGGACGCCATAATGTAGTTGTAAGCCTAAGCCAGCGGTTCAGAGTTCATTATAGGGTTTAGGGTTTAGGGTTATAGTCCCTAAATAGGTCTACTTTACTTATACTCAAAACCCTCTGAAGCCCGAGGGTGCGGATTTTCAGCGACCTGGACATTCGCATCCGGAAGACCCGTTGATCTCTGGTTCGGGTCTATCTTCCAGGGTTCTAGGCTGGGTTTAGGGGTTGAGGGTTCTATTTTGTAGGCTCTACTTAAAGGATCATGGGACTTAGTAAGTAAGGTTACAACTAAGGTAACTATACTTATAACCGCAATTAAGGGACTTATAACCTAACTTACTAAGTCCCATGATCCTTTAAGTAGTGCTGTTTGAGTCATTTCCTGCCAGCAGCCACCTGCAGCTCTGTTGGCTTCCTTCAAAGGTTCCTTTAAGGGCTTCCTTCAAGGGTATTTTTGTAGGCTCTAGGGTTGGGCACTGGGTCTCTGACGCGGCTTCAACGCACGTACGACTGACCGAGAGCCTCACCAAGTACGACCAGCTTAGGCCTCTGGGTGCTAGAAAACGAATTCATGGTTTAGGGTTTAGGGTTTAGGGTTTAGGGTTTAGGGTTTAGGGTTTTAGGGTTTTAGGGTTTTGGGTATCAACAAGCCGCAGCTTCAGGGGCCAGGACTGGGTCGCTGCCGGCAGGCGAACCCCAAAGCCTAAATCCGATGGAAAAAATGCCGCAGCCCCAATGACAAGCAGCAGCATCGTCGAAGGGGTAGCGAGCACGCAATTCCTGCCGACTTTGCAAGGGTTTCGTGTTTTCGGGATCTCGGTTTAAGGGTTCACGAATCCAGATGGTGGACCCCGCAAAACGTCATGGCAAGCAGTGAACCCTAAACCCTAAACCCTAAACCCTAAACCCTAAACCCTAAACCTAAACCCTAAACCGTAAAGCTTCTTTTGTGCCGACCCCAAGAGCCCCCAAAAGCTCCCTGGCTTCTTCCATGAGACCCTCCAGACAATCGGGGTCCTGCACCATACCTCTCGGCTGAAGGTCATGTGTCCACACGTACGTACAGGATCACATACATACGTACATACTTACATAAGTACATACATACATGCATGCGTACACACAATTGTACATACAGAGACAGAGAGAGAGAGAGAGAGAGACAGAAAGAGAGAGTGAAAGACAGACAGACAGATAGACAGACAGACAGACAGACCGACAGATAGACAGACAGATCTACACGAGTATATGTATATACGCATATGCATGTACAGATGTGTGTTAGTATTAGGTTGTTTATCTGTATACATGCGTACCTATTTGCACCTATAACTGTGTCCATATCCGTGTCCGCTTCCGTATGTACATCTATGTCAATATGTAAACGTATGTCTCTTTCTGTTTCGATACCTATGCCTATACATGAATCTGTTTACCTATGGATCATCTATATCGTCTATATCTACAGCCATACTATAACCGTCTGTCTATCCGCTGAGATCCCTCTATCCCGGTATGCAGGCACAAATGTAAATACATATATGCATGCATGCATATACGTGGATCTGCTACGTGTGTATATATATATACAGCTATAAATATAAATATTATGTCATAGCATATCATAGATAGATAGATAGATAGATAGATAGATAGATATATTAAAAAATAAACACATAAATGAATATGTCTGCATGTTTTATAATTATATATATATATATTCACATGTATGTGTATATATATACACATATACATATAAATATACATATACAGTCATATACATATACATATACATATACATATACACATACATATACATATGCAAATATAAGTTCATAGACATAGACTTAGGCTTAGACTTAGACATAGACTCAACATAGACATGTTCATGTACATATACATGCACAAGTACATATGCATGTACATACAATGTGTATATATATATATATGCACATTTGTACATGTCCGTGTGCAGATGTGTCACTGCAAACGTGTATATGTGCATTTATATATGTATGTCACTGTATGTCTGCACGTATGTACGTACCTACACACGTACGCAGGTAGGCCGGCAGGCAGGTGTGTATGCGGCACCTACTCACATTGAAAGTTTACTTACTTCGCCAATAGGCCAGGGAAATAAAAGGTTAAACTTTCAGATTACTAAACTATAAGAACCCAAAAAGTTTAAAGGTTGGGTATTGAGGAACTAAGTTTAGAGGTCTCCACCTTGGGCTTAGTCTTTGCACTGGTCTTCGGATAGAGTTGTCCCTAATCACTAAACCCTAAACCCTAAACCCTAAACCCTTGTAGTTGGAGATCTGGCGGGTTGGAGCGTGTGACTGTTTGCCGTCTTGGGATTCGAGCTTTTGGGGACTGCTTGGGGTGTATGGCGTATGACTACGAATATTTTAGTACGGTGCAGTGTTTTTCCGTATGCGATGGTAAAATACAGTATAGTTTATATTGTAGTATATTATAGGGTATCATAGTATGTAGGTATATTAAGGAACCCTGAAAGGTGTACTTAGGGCCTCCAGGGGATTTCAGACACCGCCTGGTGACTTCGTCGAAGCGGCGACTCGCTTCAGGGTCTTAGGGTTTAGGGTTTAGGGTTTTTAGGGTTTAGGGTTTAGGATTCTAGGGTTTAGGGTTATGGGAGGGCCTTGGGTTCAGGGTTTTAGGGTTTAGGCTTAAGGTTTAGGGCTTAGGGTTAAGGTTCCGGGTTTGGGTTAAGGGTATTGAACACATGCCATCGCACTCGAAGCCACCCAATGCCAAACCGGCAAGGCACCCTGGACCCATGTCGGTCTTAGGGCCTGGAGTGGAAGCAGGGCACCCAACTTGGCCCGAACCCTAACCCGATGAATCCTAGACCTTCATTTAGGGTGTAGGGTTTATTCACGCCCTCATGGTAGAAACCAGGCGCTTTTCACCCACTTACCCCAAAACCCGAGCCTGAAGCCTCAACCCTAAAACGCTAACACACTAAACCCTTACCGGATCCCTTACAAGAACCCTTAGAGGGGACCCTAAACCCTAAACCCT